CCCCCCCCCCCCTCCCAAAGGCACGACCACAGTCGACCAAAGAGTCGAGTTTTTCGGGTCGGTCCGTCGAGATATCAGAGAAAACGCGCGGAAAAGACCTATTGAAAAACGGTTTACAGTAAAGTATAAAAATACCGGTCGAGATAAAACGCGTATGATAATTTTATACTTGTTATTCATCACCGCGAAAGTGACAACGCAATGGAAATCATATTATTGTAACGCGTGGCAATGAGAAATGATTATTTTTTTTTTACACGCGCACACACACAGATCGCTCGCTGTCCATCAGCGATTTTAATCTGGTCAATTGTTTTAATTGCGTGCTCGGCGACCGTGTAGGCAAACGCCGCAGTAACTATTCACCACAACGTGTACTCAATAATAACGTACAGTTCCCATATTGGCATCCACCACGGCGTCTTATCAGTGATGTCCAATCGCTTTTTTATTATATTTTGCCGATTCTGTTATTGAAAACCATAGACCGATCACGCTCAATGTTACTACGCGTCCGCCTGACGTTGGCGCACGCGCAATGACAACCGTAATGGCATGAGAAATTTGTTTTTTAACTTGCTACTCGAACTCCGTTTGATCGACAACGGAAATTACCAGCAATTAGACACAATTGTCTCGCACGGAGAACTTGGGCCCGACCGGTTTATTCGGTTGGCGGCGGCCGTACCTACTTAACGCTGGATTAGGATAAATAACAAGCGGATCCTTTTTTTACCCTCGGGGACTCCGCCCGACAATTATAATTATCTTAACGGCTCACGTACACGGAGAACGACTGGTGTGTTATTATTTCCGAGAGTTTTGGTGAATGAAATTAACGCTCTCGGCACGATTATGTCGGACGGTGAATGAGGAGAAGTTCTTTTCGACGGATAATTGAAAGCGACGGACGTTCCTATGGCCGTGTAATCGATTACACCATCCGCGTCAATCATCCACCGTTGACGGGTTTACAAAAATAAAAAAAAAAAGGCAAATGTGTCTTTTCCCCAACACTCGATGAGCCACAGACATATCACAACACTCGGTTAAAACATAGCGACCTCGCCGTTATTGTTGTAATTATTGACCGGCCGCCGCAGTAATTACATGCAAAGTGAGGTTATGTACACACGGACTGGCTCTCCGGTTGGGTTTCGTGCGGCGCAGTAGTGTAAATCACCGGCGCTGTCACGAGGTGTTAAAACGCGGCGCCTAGAATTACCGACACCGACTACTAGTACTACACCACCACCACCACCTCCACCACCACAAACNCCGACTACTAGTACTACACCTCCACCACCACCACCACCACCACAAAACCGACTGAGCTTAAGCCGTGTGCTTTAATTTCAGCCGCACCTTAAGGGCCGTCGTGTACACGTAACGCATAAAACGGATATTTATCCTATCGCTGTGGTGGTAGTAAGTTTGTAATTATTATATATTATGAACGCGGCAAACTTCCATCGATCGAGGTGCAATAGAACAAAAGAGCCCAAGGCAGCCATGTGCGTGCGTGTGTGTGTCACACGAGCGGATGGATTTTTAAGGGATTTTTTGTTCAAACTTAACATACGCACGCACACTCATTGTCGAGGAGCCATGCGGATAAAGAGAGCCCAGTCCATTGTTACGGCGGCGGCCTCCTACTCTATTTTTTGTTTAAAAAACCCTCTGCATGTGTGTTTCTATGCGCCCCCATTCACCCAGCGTTCCCCGCTTCTGTACCGGTCTTCCACCCCTTCAGCTAACGCGATCGCTGTTTTTGTTATCGTTGTGTAATACTAGACACGTACATAAGAACAGTATGCTCTGCCAAAGTGTACACTGTGACTGTATACAGGCGAGTGATTACGGCAAAAAAAACAACAAAGTCGAGATCTACGATTAAATATTTAGTAAAATTAACAAGTTGCCAAAGTCAATGTTTTGAAATAAAGTTTGAATTCTTTAATTTGAATATAATATCACTATAATAAAACATAAAATCAATTTTTTGATATTGTCAGTGTTGGTTTAATAGGCGATATGCTCATTACATTTTACCTTTTGTACTCTACTTGAGATGTAGAGTACATAGAGTGTTAAGTTTCTCTAAATCCTATGAAAACAAACTAAAACATTAATATTTTGTAATTAAGATTTTTATTTCGCTCGGTAGTGGCAATTACTTACACGTAGAAAAACAATTTAAAGTAACAAGCCCAGAAAAAGTAGCAAAAATATAAATAATGTACACAACAATGAACTACATGTATGTAACTCATTATTTTTATACTAGAAAATTTTCTATTTTGTTCAATTATATTTTTAACGATATTATTCATCGAATTTCACAGAATTCGATACATAGTAATAATAATTTGATACGAAATACAATTTATTATTATAATTAAAAATGATATGGATATTTTCTACTCGTGATAAAATTTACATATTTTTAAATTTCAAGTTGAAATGCTAATGTCGGTTAATTATACATTGTGTCCTAATTAAAATCGTTAATTTTTCATTAAATAATATTTTTTTTAAGTAGTAAAATACTGCAGCGATTTTTAAGTAATTATTATTCTCAATTGAAAAGTATAGATGAAATTTATAATCATATCGAGTTGTTATTTTGATTTGAGTGAATCAAATTACAATAAACAAATAAATTATATACTAAAATGTTTGCTAATTCGACATCTATGTAATTATTAAACAAATTTTATAATAACAGATACTTAAAAGTAATAATTAATAAATTCATTATCATAATAATCTTATTACATAATAGAACAAGGAATATATATATATATATATACTTGTTTTAAATAATAAAATTTTGTTTTCAAATATAATGCAATGAAAATATTTAATTATTAATTATTTAAAGTATTTCTATTTATCAAGTAAATTATTTATTTAAATAATAAAAAAATGTTATTACCCGTTCATTGATTCTTAATTTAAGTCCGAGTTATATAATTATATTTTGTGGATATAATCAATCGATGTAATTCAACACATTTCAAAAAAATCTACTGGAATTCTATAAAAGCTATTATAAGTGGGACGAGTAAAATATTTATATTGTACTCTTGTAGTTTATAAATTTCAAAATGTCAAAATTGATTATTGAGTAGGGAGAAAATAATTAAGCAGAGTATTTATTGGAAACAATAATAAAACATTTTTGTACCAAGATTTTTTCCCATTCAATTAATAAAGATAGACTAATAAGAGCGACTAGAAATTAATTTTTAATATATAATAAAAAAATTTAAAGAATATATCAAAAACCTATAAAAAAAAAAAATTACGCCCAATAAATGTCAAAATGAATTTCCTTTTATTAAAATGTTTCTCACGATGGCATAATATTCGTTGATATATCATATTCAATCTTTTGTTTTATTATTATTACATACAGAATTTAAAATATTAACTGATGTATTTCAAACTAATAATTAAAGTTGTTTCAAATGCAATAACACTGAAATTTTATTAAAATATATCAAACATGAATCGCTGTGTTATAATTAACTATGGAAATATAATTATATATATATATATATGTATATACACATAATGTCAAAGGGTACTGGAATAAACAGATATATTAAAGTGTCGAAATGCTCATAAAACGTTATCTTTCGCCGAAAAATTATTGCCAGAGATATAAAAGGTATTTTTAGGAAAAAAAATTATAGGGATTCCCGGACAATCGAATTCACGGGTAAAGCGATCGCGTTCAATAAACAACGCGTTATCTTCATACACAATACTGAAATAATCTTTGATTATAATTGTTTTCAAATAGATCATTTTAAATGACGCCATAAAAGATCATCACAAAGCATTATTTCACACCAATAGTTTTACATTTCCACGATAAAAGTTTTATTATGTAAATAAATGAGAAAAAAATTTGGAAAGAACGACAATAGAGAAATCGTTTTGGATTCAATAACATCTAACACTTGACATGGCCTTGATATGTCTACTAGCCGTTAATGTGTTGGAGGCAACCGCGGCGATGATAGAAGCGCGACAGTTGACGGCATTAACGCAACATGATAAAAAATGTATAAAATAACGATTGTTTATTTTAATTGAGACTACAAAGAACGTTTGTTTTCGAAATGATTTGTTTTCTAGTAGTCTCTGACAAACAAAAAAAGTCGGACTTGATCAATTGAAATTCTTTTGTGTAGAAAGCAGTAATGTTCGTCAGCCACCAATAAATAACGGTAAACATTGTAATTAACTCAAGTCGTTAACAAAATATCATTTTAATAACAGTTAGTCGCAATTTTTTTCTTTTGGTATTTCGTTAGAAATACCGGTTGAGTGAGGTCAGGACAAGATCTGTCAATATCGAAAATTAGTAAATATTTAAAATTATAATTAGAATTATTTTCTAAAGGGTTGTCTCTAGATGACTCGACCGAATACTCGAGCTAACTACAAAAAAGACAGCTGAATTGTATTTAACACAGTTAGTGATAGGTACATAATTTTTATGGTGTTTGTTATTTTACAACTCGATGATTTTTATATGCTCAAGAAAAACCTACTGAATAACATTTGGACAGCATAAAAATAAAAAAACATTATCTTGTAAAAGAACAGTAGTTTTGACCATAATGGGAACGCGTCCATAATGTTGTCGGGTTTAATAGTCGTCTGGCGCCAACTCAAACGGTGTAAAGAAACGGCGGCGTTCGGTTTTGGCGTTTTTTTACAAGAATTTCCTATTTACGGCGACTCGCGTGTTAATATTATCGAAAAAATATTTCAAAGTTAATTCAAACCCATTGAAAAATAGCGTACTTGATTTTTGGAATTCCCGTACCCAATCTTATCGTACGATACTGATTACTTTAGTTGCGTGCCAGGCAGTCAATTATAATTTTTTAGGACCAAAAGGCCGAGAAAATGTAAGTAGAGAACAATTTTAACACACCTGCCAGACTTAGTGATGACCATTTCGGTTCCCAATTTATGGAACTTTTCCCAGAGATCTTTTCCCTCTAATGTGACTTTAGGATCGTCAACCACGCCGTCGTCATCCGGCCTGACGGATCTAGGAAGAGCGGCCGCTGGATGAGGATGGTGGACTCCGTGAGCGACTGCCGCGGCTAATGCTAGCATTTCTTCGGTTGGGTATCCGCCAGCGACAGGATGATGGGATCCATGGTGATGCATTTTAGGCATTGGTATCATGGTACCCGGATAACAGGCGCCCATGTACGCTGCAGCGGCCGCAGCCGAAAGTCCAGGTGGTGGTGGAGGTGGTGGCGGGTACGCTGACGGTTGTCCATTGATCACAGGACTGTTATTATTGTTGGTCAACAACGAACTTACCGAAAAGTCTGTCGATGCCGCCCGGGCCGTGAACGAGGTGTCCGGCGAACGCTGTCCGCCGGTCATGGCGGCCGCGGTTTGTGGGGTGTCCGGCGCCCCACGGGGTGACCGGCACCTGAGGTCCGCTTGCTCGAACCGCATAACAGCCACGCCGTCTGCGCCGCTACCGTTTGCCCCGGCCACTACGGTGGACCAGACTTCTGCTCGAGCATTCACAGACAATGATGACAGTAAAAGTTGTTCACCGGTAAACGCGGAACGACGTTCAAAGGCGCACAACACGATCGAATATACTTTCTTTAAAGATGAACACAAATCGAACTTTAGTGGCCAGTGAAGAAATAATATTTTAGTTAATTTGCCGTTACGAGGGGGATCGCTATATGTTAATGTTCTAAAATAATACTAAACTCGTGTACGACTACACCACGACGTGCGCGCTCGGTGCCGACTGACTGTGTGGCGGTGGCGGCGATGTGACAACACCGACGCCCCGGCCCGAGTGTTAATGAGAGTCGCGTCCGGATTGGTCGAGACCGTCCCAGCCAATCGGCAAGCGTCAACGGTTTCACGCAACGGCGTCAACACACACAAACTAGCGCACACACGGCGTGTCGTATTCTTTGCGCTTGTATGTGTTCGTGTGGTGGAAGGGAGTACGTGCAGCCGCCGCTGACGCCGTCACCGCCGCCGGTCAACGCTTGCTCCGACGGTGGCGACGACGACGACGCCGGTGTTAAAATACGGCACCCACCCTATATGTGTCCGTCGTAACGACCGGAGGACTTTTGGCGCCCCAACCCCTCCGCCAGTGCACCTACTTTCACACAATTTGGGGGAGCCAATGCTGCGTGTTGCACTCGTTCACTCTCTCGCCGACTGTTCGACAAGGATGCAGTTTTCGGTACGACCGCCACTAAGTCTCATATAATTATTTACAAATTGCTAAATAAATTATATTGCATTTTTTTTCGTTAATTAATTCTATTTTTTAGACTCGTTCAAATAAAAATATATTTTATAAAGGATAATTTATTTATTAAAAAATAATAATAAAGCAAAATTACTTTAATTTTTTAATTTAACGGTAACATATTTCCATAAAGACCATTAGTTTAAAAAGTATGAGATGTACGGACAATATTTATCAAACCAAAATGTAGTAATAGTCTAATAAATTTTTAAGTTTTACTAAACTCGTCATTATATTGAAAAAAAAAACATTTCTTTTCTATAATATTTTTTTAGGTTTTTCCAGTAGTCATAGCGATTTGTTTGGAAAGTAGATTTTATAATCGAGTACACATTACTATTTAGCTATTGATTATTTATTATTCAATAATTTTTAAATAAAAAATGTTAAAAAAAGTTCCTTTTTTAAAATGTACATGTGAATTAAACTATTACATATGAAATTACCCCAATACGATTTAACTTTCAAAAATTGTTTTAGCAACTGTAAAATAAATTATATAAAACTTAACAATAAATTCAAGTATTATACAATTTATGTTTAGTTTATTCACATAGAATTGAACTGAAAAAATGTTTAAAATGCTTGCTTTTGTATAATATGGGTCACTAATTGATTTCAAGATGTTTTACACACTTTATGACAATAAAAGTCGGTGGCATATCGAAGGGGGTGGGGGGGGGGTTAAATGTGCTATAGACCCTAAACAAAATCTTGATTTCGTCATCGAAAAAGGTTAAATAATGCAACTACTACTATATAGAAATAATTGGACTAAATAAATATAGTTTATAATTGTGTATGTACAATAATTTGGAAACTGTGAAAATATTTTATATAAATCGAGTTGTATTTATTGTTCAGTGAATTTGTTATTGTCACGGGCGCTGCGCAAGTATAGTACAGTATTAGTTATCATTGAAAATGTTGATCGACTCGTATGATAAACGCACGTGAATTTAAACACGAACTCGTATAATTGCCAACAAAGTCGCAATTTGACAAACAAATGTTGAATTTTGCAAAATTATCAATTCAAGTACACGCGTGGATTTTGGACACGGAATAAAAAGTATAATAAAAACACAAACGACACGCTTTACCACGATGCCACCTCGTTTTGGCAATATTTTATTCGACGTTTTTTGATCTGACCGCTGTTATTGGCCAATTAAACATTCAAATCACGAAAATTGTTTCGGAGAAAAATGCAAAACGTCGTGGTATTACATTCGAATGGCCCCGTAGAAAGTAAACAGAGCACAATTTGGAACACAAAGAAGTCCTGTATAATACACTTCCAGAGGACGTCGTGTTTAGTGTACTTTTAAACATTCAAATCACAAACATGTAAAGTAATAATATCGTGTTCATGTTTATAAACGACCTGTGCGCAGTGTGCGGTTCTGAAACATAATGTTCGTTCATAACAACAATATAACAGTACTTGAGCTGTACAAGGCTGAACGCTGCGAGTTATAAATCGCATTATTTTTCTAGGGGAAAGTGGAAAAATACTCAAAATATTATATTATATAGCTGTTCGTTGTTATTGGCAACACACACGTGCTAACGTTTGTTCGAAAATAGTAATATAATAGATAATAATACTATGGTTTCATGCGGAGGGTTTTAAGATATATATTGTTTGTGCGTGGCGCACCATCATAACAATATAATACCTGAAGACCTTAAGTATTCTCCGAAAATAATGTCGTATTTACCAGATGAAAGCTTTTCGAACGATTTAGGTGCCGATGTTTACTCAAAAATAAAACACAATTCATAACTCCAGAGCAGTTATAGAGAGTGTAAGAAGACTTGATCTCTTCGGAAAATTAAAATTATCAATGTTGGTTTGATAAAATACATTCTTATTTTATTGACAAACGTTTTGATTAATGAGTTTCCCCGACTATGTAATTGTATGTATAATATTTTGACTTTTGCCATCTTTGTGTAAGTCCTCAACTAATTCAGTTGATGATCATTTAACTGAAGGAGGATACAAATTAAATCAGTAACTTCCTGCTTCGCTTAAATGGCCACCGGCTGAATTAGCTGAACCCTAAAATAAGTATTATACTATTAAAGGAACTATAGTTCTTACAATACATTAAACTGAGGAGTGATTGTTTTATCACGAACCACTTAGTTAATCGTATAATAATAATATTAAGAATTATTTTTTTTGGTAGACAAATAAAAGAATTGACAAAAACGTATTGAACGATGTCATCAAACACTTTAGGATCAATTCATGTGCTGACTTTGATCGTGAAGTGTGAATGGATTCGAATAATTACTGGAGACCACAAAAATGAAGTTAGGCGAATTGACAGATGTAAACTATTATTTTGACTTAACGCTTAAATACAACTTGAACGATGAGCACAAACCAAAAAGTAATGCGTTCACAATTGTTGTAATGAAATTTATTAGTCGAGTAGACCATAGATTTTTACCTCCAAGGTGTATTATTATGCTTGCACAGATAGATCATGTGTACCTATCAGCCGAATAGTGGTAACTGTGATTACAGCAACTCAGCCATACAATGTGCATTTGTGTGGCCAGTGGTCTGTATTTCGATAAAATTCCACTTGTGTGGGCTTCCTCCTCGTAACCGCAGAGAAATTAATTATATATGCATAGGCCTCACAGAGGATAGATACACAACGGATACCCCAAGGGAAAAAATTCCGAGAGAGTGTTTCATTCCGATGTCGTCATGTTCTACTGTTTGAATAAGAGAATTCGTTTTAAAAATTTCATTTCCTTTTTTTCATATGTCCAATGTTATTTTTTAAAAGCCTAATATCCGACTATTGCGATTAGTTGTGTAAAATCGTCCTAAAAATATCCATTTAAACGTACGAATATATTTATATTGAATTTTTGATGTGTAAAAGATTCTTTTCTATCGGAGAAAAAATATTTATTATTCTAATTTTTGTATTGTGCGAATTCAATGTTGAGTTGGCAGATGTTTCTAGTTCAAATAAAATAACTAAAACTACTAACTTTTAGTTCATTGAAAAATATATTATTTATTTAGCTCAAATGAGTAATTTTCAACATGTCATATTAATAGTATTTCGCAATTATAAAATGTCTCTTTACTCCGTCCAAGTAGAAAGTATTTACATTTGAAATTTTAATGTAGTGTATTAATAGTTCTTAGCGTAGTTTATTCGTACATTTTTCATTTACTATGTAACGTTATCGCGTTTAAATGGTATGTATCCATTGGAATTAATTATTAGTACAAATTACCGCTTGCATTAATTACTATTTTGTGAAACAAACCAAAAATGGAATATTTGCTTTGAGCTTGTAAATAAATTATACACTTGTTGCTTTCATTTAGTAAACACGTCGTAACAGGAAATTAGGCTTTATATGATTAATAAAGATTAAGTATATACTTTAGGGCACATATTCGACTTGGAAATATAGGTACTTTTTAATACATAAAAATAAATAATGATGAAATAAGTACACCTGTCGACACGATTCGGACATAACCGTCGAGTTAAACGTTCTAATAATATTATCTCGATAGTACTCTGGACATATCAAATACCAATTTACATACATTACTATGCTAATTTATTATAATGGACGATTGAATTTCAATAGTTCATTATGGAACGATTACTTTTAATCGTTTCGATAATTATACGTGCCGAATGCCTTGTGATGCGATAAATCAGTAATGGCGACAAATGATCTTCATGCGACCGTGTTATTAACAAAAGTGTTCCATTATGTAAAAATAAAACGATTAATGAAATCCGTGGACGACGTTGATTAACAATTTGTGTATGTATACAATTATTATTGTTGTGTTGTTAAAAAAGTTTCTGGCGCACGAGCAACCGCCTTGGGCCGCTGCGGTTAAACTCGGACCACCCTGTCCAGTGTTTACACAATCAAATGTGCCGAGCAGATCTGTACGTGTTAAGATATCTGATAGTGTCCATGACAGTTATGTCTGTGCGTCTAAGATGTCGACTGCAGTTGTCCGGCGCATTGAAGTAAAAAACATGTACTGTAGCAGAAACAGGCGGGTTAATAATACAACGGTAATTGAATTGGGCATGTTGCATCATGTACGGATGTTATTTGCGTGGGACCGTACCGTGTATTTTTTTATACTCGTCTACATTTTGCCCGTGTACATACCGCCATGGGATTCTGTGAGCCGTGGACCGGTCCGGGTAGCGAGAGAGCGATGGGCTTGGCCTGGTACACCGGACAACCGGTCCGAGCCGTTGTAGTGGGCGGACTTACGGTCGACCGCCGGTACATTATTGGGTTCGCCTTCCTACGCACTACAACACATTTTGTTCACATGTATCCGTTCAGTGCAAGTTTAAGGTACATACGTGTATTTTACATAGGCACTATGGTCATCGGAATAATGCGACCCGGTGAATTTTCATCGAGTTCAGTACAGTTAATGGAGAGGAAACGTCGTTTTCTTCACATATTGCACTCGATTTGATAACAACATGTGCATTCGGGAACAAATCGATTTTTCACATGGATGAATCTTAATAAAACATATCTGCTGGTCATAAAACATCTAC